ATCGCCGCGAGATCCGGAAATCAGCGTAAGCTACTCGGCTTTAACAAAGTTTACTCAATCATACCTTATCATCCTTTATCCTTCTTATTTTTGGTGACCGCTCACGAGGTAAATCATTTTTTTAATAAATTGTATTCTTATCTGGATTCACTCGTTAAAATGTTTTAAGAATTTCATATCAAATTTTAAACTATTACAGAAGCTACTTTCTTGCCAGTCCAAGCGATCATGTCCTCTCACTGGGCTTCAACTGCCTGCGAATTAGGTTATACGTAGGCAAACTAATCTGTTTTAAGAGGTTTTTTTATATCTTGATCTATTGTGCACAATTTTAAATTATCGCCTTTTTTTCTGAGTTATTAAATGTCCGTATCATTTTTCAACATTCGCTATCTTTGGAGATTTTATACAATTGTTAGTGTCGCAAAATCAACAGTATGGGCTCTACTTCGCTTAAATCCAGTAAAATCGAATCATTGTTTTGTTTCGTAATTCTCTTTATGTATGGTAGGGCTAAGTTGGGTTTCAACTCGACTTCCTGTTAAATCTTCAATTCATTAAAAATGTGTAATATTTGACGAGCTAGTTTAAATTTCACCCATTAAAAGGTATTTAATTGAATTGATTATCAACAATTCGTTTCAAATGAACATGCACAGTGAACCCAATGCCAGCTAGAATTTGCAGTCACTACATCTATGCTATTCCAATACCAGTTAGCCTTAATCATTTCGCATTGCCCATTGAGTAGGTATCGAAACATTAGAAGATATAAGTACTAATAGTTGAGTCTCACAATCAATTGGGTAGGTCCCATGGTATAATGAAGTTTTGCCTCCCCCAGCAAGTCTATCCAAGCTTTTATACAGTTTTGACCTCGTCTAAGTCTCATCAACACTAGATCGTTCCTTTTGACTTCGAATACAACGTTGCTATAGTCACGGGTTCCAATAAGTCACGAGCAAGATGGGATTTAAGCTAAGTCAGCTTTCCAACAACTAAAAAAATACTAATTGCGAAAGACTTGGCTTATTTTCAATGTTGTTGCACACCGGCAGCAAACGACAGCGTTACTTTGTGGTTGCTAAGGCGACCCAAGTGAGGTAGAATCTGTACTATCTAGGATAAAAATACTTATGGAGAAAAATCTAAGTGAATCCATTCGCTCACTTACTTTGGGAACTTGATCTATTTGTAAGCTTTGTGTTAACATTTTTTAAAATTCAATCCAATCATAATGGATGTAGGATACTACTTGGTTTGGAAACTTGGTAATTTGATGTACTACAGGTTTTTACTTGCTCTTAAATGTGAAGACCAAAATGGTGTGCCATTCTGTTTCGTCACAGTCTCTTAGCCTTATAGTCTCGGTTCGACCTCGTTATCACGACTTGGTGGAGCTTCAGATAGACCTTGTGGAACGTACCTAGTCCTGTATCCTCGGCCATAGTATTTGTGATTTCCAGTATCGAACCATTGACTTAGCACATTCCCAAACGTTTCGCTGACATCTTAGTCTGCGTCGTCGGTGAGGGTGCCTCTCAAGAGCATTTATCCTCCAACAAAGTGTTTCCTTTACATGTACCATAACATTTGTGGGTTGGCCTACAAGAGACTTGAGCATAGGAAGTCATAGACTTGGCATTACAGATAGAAGCACGTTAGATAAGGTGGAGATTATATCTAATTGGCTGACAGTAGACCTGTTTTCCCATAGACGTGGTCCATGCAGCAGAGGCTTTACCAGGGGCTTTAGCCTCGAGTTCGTCTCCAAGACGCAGAATGTGGGAAATAACGCCTCTAGCAGAGGTGGGGTGGCAAGGGTCGGGTTAAATAGTCGATCCAGGGCGATGGTAAACGGATCATACGGGCAAGAGGGAGACTTATAAGACCTATGGAAGGAGGACGGCGTAACAATATGGCAGACCCTGATCCACATTCCCAGCACAAGAGTGAAGGGGGTTGAGAAAGCCGGCGTGGAGTGTAGGGAGTTATCATGAAAGCCGCTCAAAAGGCACATCATACCACATTTTAATAAGCAAGGAAAAAAATGTGATAGTGAAGGCGAAATACCACGGTTGTTTTGCAGACAATTGGTAAGAGGATCGACTTCACTTGTCTCTTTGACGAGTTGTAGTGTGGTGCTGAGAATGGCAAGACTCATTGAAGATGCCGGCGAAACGTTTGGGAATGTACCACGTCCACTGTTCGACTGGAAATTATCATACATACAATGGACTCCGGATTAGGTGCGTTGGGCTAAGTCTTCCTACCAATATGACCATGTTGCGAAAACAAGGTCAAACAACTTCAATATATCCTATACTTTTCTATGTCATTTTTGTGTTGTCCTTTTCCAGATTTGACAAAGCCTCATATTTGGCGCCGATCTACAACTCTAGTAGGAAGCAAACGTAACCTCAACTATTTTCTTTCCAAATTTTGTTGCATCTAGCAGTTCTATATGGAAAACAACGAAAATATCTCCGGCAGTTAATAAGTCGGGTTTGGAGCCTTTTAGGCCTGAGGTAAGGACGGGGAGGCAATAATAACTAGGTTGACTGAAGTAAACTGTCTATAATATGCTGAATTACATTTGACGATAGCCGAGGATACACTACGTTCTTGCAAGTTCATCTAAAAATATTTTTAAGTTTGAAAACGAAGCCAAATCAAGTTCATCTGTTTTTATTTTTTCTGACATTGTTGATCCTAAATTTCGTCACTCATTCTGCATCTTTATTCTAAGGGCGCTCCAGGAAAAAAGAAATTTCTTAGTTACATTTACCTATCAAACATTGTTCTTTAATCCTAATGCGCTATTTTGGCTTTTTTTCCATATCCGCTTTAACAAATTTTGTTTTTTTTAATCTAAAGTTGAACTATTTCTGGGTAACTTAGTTGTTTTATTCCCATTTTTGTTTCACTAGCATTCACCATTCCGATTGTCATGTTATACCCGCCCAATGCTAGAACTAGCACTGCCTTGCCCCTGCCGACGCCACTTATTGAGAATCCCTCTTCCTTGAATGCAAGCCCCGGTGGAGCACTTGCTAACTCTATTCCATGTACTTTGAGTTCGGCGTTTCCTACTGGCGCTTCAGAGGTTACAGCTTCTTCTGAACATTCAGCATGCTCATTCGACTTAATTCATCCCCATAAGTCGAATGTCACTTCCGCCGCTGACACTCCTACCTCAGATGTCGCTTCAGCTACTGTCGCCACTGCCCCTTTGACAGGACTGCTAGGCCCTTGGCTACCTCTCCCCCATCCTACCTTTTCAACTGGCCTATATCCTCTCCACCCGTTGGCTGTGAACAGCTTGCTTGGTCATTCATGCTGCGTACTGCCACGCCAAGCCTCTGATGGCGCCAACTCCGCAACTTTGGCTGCTGCTCCCTCTGTCAGCCCTTTCCCGGCAACCGTACCTCTCTGTACTTTCCGCCACCTTGTTGCCGGTCCCTCAGTTCCTCCTCTTCTCATACCTCAAGTAACTAGTTTGTCGGGTCCTAGATCACACGCTTTGCAGCTTCCTTATCATATGCGTGCTGGATTCCTTCGTCGGCAGATCGATTTTTACTTTAGCGAGACCAATCTAGTCCATGATCTTTTCCTTCGACGTCAGATGGATCCTGAAGGCTGGGTCAGTTTAGCAACTATTGCCTCGTTCAAACGGATCGCATCTGTGGGCGCCTCGCCTTCCGAACTGCAATCGGTTGGTTTTTCTTTTTATAAATGTTTACAAAACAAGGCTAAACTAGACAATTTCATATATATGAGTTAGTTTCACCTTATTTCGTTCAAGGTAATGAAGAACCGGTTATTGAATTTTCCCACAATGACATGAGTAGAGCTGTCGTTTATATTGAATTTAACATAGGCTTGCCTTCCCAAAACGTGTTCTCATCCAGGGTAGATTGCAGTTTCGACCTCGCCTAGGTTGACTCAGCGGAAGTCGAACCATTAAAGTGCAACGTGTAATCTCGACACGTTAACTACCACGCCACATTTCCATGAGTGCCGTTAGTTCATAGGGCAGGTGTGAACTTCAAGAAAAATCAGGCGCTTTCCATATCACACTTTATTGGGATTGTCGATGAAGCAAATTTTATATTTGTTATAGCAATAGGTAGGTAGGTAGCAATTAGATATATTAGAAAGTAAATAAGCAATTTCATGTCATCAAGCCAATTCGCCGACTTCACATTCACTTTTAATTCTATTCTGCTTTATTTACTCGGCATGTTTTCAAATTTTACCTTTTGATGTCGATACAAATAGGCAAATCGACAAAATTATTAATAGATGCGATACTTGCAGGATATCACTATTTCTAACATAAATTTAACTCTTCAGGATCGAGCGAAGGTTTGCTAGGGATTGTCTTACTCAAATTGGATTGGGTGTAACATTTGTTATTACGACTTCTAGCTGCAATAA